GTTGCAGTCTGTCAGTCATATAATGTAAGTGGACGGGAATCACGGCTATGAGAGTCAAAAAAACATACAGAAACAAAACCAAATTAAACCCTGCGGCTCGTGACGATACACTGAGGTCTTAAGACACGAAACGATCGGTCTGTGCAAGAAACTGAACAGTATTTATATAGTTTTTTACCTCTGATGCACTGCAATGTCTGAACTGTCCTGAGCGCATTCTCAACAGCAGGGCGTGAGGCGTCTTCTTCTTCTTCTTGCTTTACGGTGGATCGCAGACTTATAAGTGCATTACCGCCACCTATCTCTCAAATAGACCATTGACACTCTATCTACAATCTCAATTAGGAGTGTCAATGGTCCATTTGAGAGATAGGTGGCAGTAATGCACTTTGGTCTTTACACATCAATGTAGCGTCACGAGCCGCAGGGTTTAATTTGGTTTTGTTTGTGTATGTTTGTTTGACTCTCAAAGCCATGATTCCCATTCACTTACATTATAAGACTGACAGACTGCAACGGTTTGTGTTAAAAATCTTCATTTGTGTTCTACTGAAGAAACAAAGTCACCTATATCTTGGAAGCCCTGGGGGTAAGCAGATAAACATCACATTTTCATTTTTGGGTGAACTATACCTTTAACAGGTACAAATCGTGATTTAAAAAATGTATTGATTTAGCATTAAGATTATTAAATGCTGTAGAAATTTTGTTCACTGTTAGTTCATGTTAGTTGATGTAGTTAACTAATGTTTAATGAGACACAATTTTCTCTGTTTAATGTATAAATGAATATGATTATGTTGTAATTTGTAGAAGTATTACTATAAAATGTTTCATCAGACTTTGATAAATCTGCTGGTTGACACAATGAGCAGAAAATATATAGGATGTTCATTAGGAGCAAAACTTCTCATTGAGTTAATTTTCAGATTTTGACATGTTCAAATGAGTTCAAATTCACCAGTGTGTGTTTTCCAGTTATGATATTGTGATAACTTGCTATGACGTCCCATCTCATGACTCATAACTGTAATGTTTTAGAGCATCTCTGTGTTGAGTATGGCTGACGGATGGAGAGAACGCTTCATTACCGCAGCTGAAGTGCTTTTGCTCGGCTGATCTCTGCTCAGAGTTTGGCAGCTTGTTCTCGATCAGCTCCATCTGTCCACATGAGTTTACCAGGCTGCTCTTCTCCACATGGTTTCTGGGAAGCTTTTACAGCATTTAAAGACGGAAAACTCAATTACTGTCTAAAATTAAACACGTGAGTCACAGTGAAACAAACAGACAGCGCGAGTGTCTTTCTTCAGACTTCAGAGAAACTAGAGATGATGCTGCTTTACATGGAAAACTCATTTAATGAAGATTGTAATGCTCCGTGAATTCTGTAACTGCATACATATTTTCATTGCCAGATGTTTTGGTATCATCACTTCAAACCTCAGTAAATTTAATTCAGTATTTTGGAAAAATAATTTTAATGAGAAAGGATATTTGTATAGTTTGATTAGTCTAAATTACACACTGAAAATGTAAGCTGGACGTTTTCCATGAAATACGCTACTTTTATGCCTTGAGTTTAATTTAATTGGACTTTAACTCTAAGAAGAGCGTCAGTATTTTATATGTGTCTGAGAGCACTACCTGTTCAAAGAAAATAACAGGGTGATGTTATGCTAATTATTACAACTGTAAGCTATTACAGCTGAGAAAATGCTTAAAAAACATCTCAAAACATTTGAGCAGTGTTGTTTTAGTATCATTGAGATACTATCGTAACGATTTACTTTTATATTTTTTATATTTAGTAAAAGTTTAATCATTTTATTGTGTTTTTGTAGTTTTAGTTTTTTTATTTCAGTTTTAGTTTTAGTTATTTTATTACATCAAGTTAAACTAAATGAAAAAGAAATGTTGCCATGGCAACCCACTGAAATAAAATAAGTTTAATTTTTTAAATTTCAGTTTTATGTTATATTTATTTATTATTATATTAAGTTTTATGTTATATTTATTTTAAATAAATATGGTTTCATTTTTAGTTAGCTATAATAATTTACCATTATGCATATATAAATAATTTACCATTATGCATATATAAAACAAATCTTTTATTTTTTATATTACATGTTTAAAGCAATGAAGTTACAAATTCCATGTTCTTACATTTAAATTCGATTTTGAATCAATTATATTTGAAGTTTTGTTTTTAACATATTGCAAAGGTGTGGCTGCAGAAACAATTTAAATAAAAACATATTAAATATATTTTAAAATTACTGATATATTCATAGCTTAAGGAATGAAGATATAAAAAAAGAAAAAAGAAAAAAGCATCATCACTATATATTAATAATAATTCTTTGGTTTATTTTTATTCCTGAAATGTGGAATCACTAGGAAAAAGTCCCGCATGCTGCTTGCTTGCATGTAGCTTGCACATCTTTATTAAATATGAATATTTTGGTGAAAGATCTTCTTCAACCATCATGCTTATGGTGAGTGGAATTGCTCTGACATGGTTTTCACATTTTATACTCACTGTAGGCTATATTGGCTATATTGAACCAGCAGCTGTGTGAATGTATATGTGTGCTGTAATGCCCTTGGGTTGGTGATCTCTCAGATTATTTACAGTGTAATTGACCCGACGGGTCGGTCAGAGAGCGTTTAACCCTCAGCAGTGATTATTCACGGGACGAGTGGCGTAAATGTGTCAGTAGCACACTAACTGTTGTCATGGAAACACACGCTTTTACTGAGGATCAATACGAGAGCTGACGGCCGATGAGAGCGCAGAGATGCGGCGTTTGATCAGTCAGTCAATACAAAGTGAGTCTTCTGCTGCTGAGTAATAATACAGCTAAAAATACAACACCTCTGATACACACTTTTCCTTTCTTAAAGGGGACATATGATGCTTTTTTAAAGATCATTCTTTTGTGTATTTGGTGTAACAGAACATGTTGACATGCTTTAATGTTCAAAAAACACATTCTTTTTCAAATACTGTACATTATTGTAGGTCCTCTATGCCCCGCCTCTCTCAAACGCTTCGTTTTCAACAAAGTCCCTCCTTCCGACAAGCGCAGTCTGCTCTGATTGGCCAGCTGACCCAGTGCATTATGATTGGCCGAACACCGCAAGCACTCGTCGGAAATGTAGCGCCCCTTACCATAATCACAAGCTTCATCTTTCAAATAAATGTAGAGACAGAGCCCGAAAGGGGAACAGAGTCGCGTGACAGACACAGTGATGAAGCTGGTCTCTCTCGCTCTCTCTCTCACACACATGCGCGCACACACACACACACACACGATGCGCAAAACTCCGCATTTGAACAGTCAATAGCAAATACTTAAACTAATAACAATTATCCTCAAAATAATTCAACAATATCTGAAATTAGGCTTCCATTTCTTGATGCAAAATCAATGGTCTTATTTTTTGTTGTTGACATGTTTTGACAGGTTTCGTCTCTAGATTGTGTTTCACGTGGATCTGGTTTCCACTGTGAATGTTGTAAAATGAGGCACAGTGTTAATTCTGAAAGCACATCAATGTCCAAGGACATCTGAGCTACTCGTATTGATTAGTGATGTCTGCACATTTTAGAGTGGCCTTTTATTGTGGCCAGCCTAAGGCACACCTGTGCAATAATCATGCTGTCTAATCAGCATCTTGATATGCCACACCTGTGAGGTGGATGGATTATCTCGGCAAAGGAGAAGTGCTCACTAACACAGATTTAGACAGATTTGTGAACAACATTTGAGAGAAATAGGCCTTTTGTGTACATAGAAAAAGTCTTTTGAGTTCAGCTCATGAAAAATGGGGGCAAAAACAAAAGTGTCGCGTTTATAATTTTGTTCAGTATATATTACTATGCTCAACTATAATTGGCTAAAACTTTAGCCAGGAAACTTTTTGCTGACTTCGGATTGGCTGAGATGTCTTTAGAAGGCAGGGCTTGGAGAGTGGTCGATGGGATGACGCTTGTCTAGTTCAGTTCTGTATGGATGTAGTAAATGGAGTGGTTTTGTTTGGTTGAATGTGTTTAACATGTACGGCCTGTTTGTCTGCGTCTGAATGAACGTCTGAGAGACAGAGCGTCTGTCAGAAAGACGAATGAGAGCGGATTATGTGTTCAATCACAGAGAGAAATGAAGGACGGGAGCGCTGCCAGAAGAGCAGCAGCATCTCTCTGTGATCGGTTTGTTTGCTCCAGTGTGATTCGTCCACAGAAACCGAACGAACCGTTACATCTGCGTCGCGCCCAGCACTACAATAATGTGTCAAACTGTTTAAAATACAAACTCAGTGACATTCACGCACTTAAAATCCATATTAAATAGCTTCTCATTTAGTTTTCACATTGTTTTATCAATTAAATCATTCTTTTTGTCAGATGTTCTGCTTGTAATGTGTGTTTGTGATGCTTACTCTGATATTTCTACTTAATGACATGTATAAGTGTGACTTTATGTGAGTTTATCCTGTCTGATCTCTGTTTTCTCTCTCTGTTTTCTCGGTCGTTTTTGTCTCTCTGTCTTCGGCCCGGAAGGATCTTCCTCTGCCCCGTAAAAACAGCAGGTCAGTCTCTTTTCAGTCATAATAAATAGATAAATAAATGCTTCATTTACATTTTTAATTCGGATTTGAGGTATCAAGCTACTAAAATGAGTAGTTCCCTCCCAACGGTAAGTGTAGTAACTGTGGTATTTTAGAGATTACTGTGGTTAGTTTTCATATGGCTTCATTTTGTTTACAGTATAAACTCAGCCCAGTGTTATTTTAAGATCACATTATTATAGTATGTGTTAATATTTTGAACTAGATTTTATTTTTCTGTTTTCGATTTAGTCGAAGGTTTAGTAATTGTTTTGTGTGTTTTTGTCATTTGTAGGCTATGTTAAAACATCGACTTCATTAGGTACTGTGTCTTATTTTAGTAGGGAAAAAAAATTCTACTAAACCATTTTATAATATTGAAATTATTATAAATAATTAGCAGTAAATATATACTAACATAATGTATATGTATTTTACAATTAAACTTCCAGTAATGTTAATTTGGCGTTTTTTGTAATTTGTATTAGTTTTTTTATGTCTTTATAGTTTTTATTTATTTATTAGTTTATTTAGTTACTAATACTAATACTTCAAATTAAACTAAACAAAAATGAGAAATGTTGTATTTGCATCTATCTGAAATAAAATAAGTATTTTTTAAAATATTTAGTTTTATTTCAGTTAACCCTTTTTATTTGTAGTAAGTAAGTAAGGTTTATTTAGTTTTAGTTATTTTAGTACTTCAAGTTAAATAAAACTAAAATAGGAAATGTTGAGTTTGCAGTAAGTGTAAATAAAATAAGTTCTGTCAGGACCACTATCGTCAAAATGATAGATACTTAAAGTTTGGTTTGGCGGTATGGTTCTGTTCTGGGCAAAAACCTCCCTGCCCATCCATGCAGCCTGTCATGAATGAGCAGGGAGAGCAGCAATAATAACCCCCCTAGCGTTAACAGAACAGAACAAGGCAGATATCATTAATGTACTTAATGATATTTAAGCGTAACACTTTATTCAAGATAAAGGAGTCTGATTAGCAAGGAATATCAGAAAGCCAAGTCCTGACTGTGGCAAAAGGAGGAGCTGGGGATGGAGGAGGGTAATTTGCTCCGGAGCAAGCTGAAAAACTGCTGAATAATACTGAATAGAGCTTATATAGGAATGCCGCGATAGGTGTCGTATTCCTATAGGTAGATGTGATCAGCTGAGAATCAGCTGATGCAAGCTTGACTCACGTGACCTGCCAGAACTAACGCTAACGCGTTAAGGTTTTGTAATATTTTTTATTTCAGTTAACATAGTTTTTTAAAGATTTATATAGTTTTAGATATTTTAGTGATTCAAGTTAAACTAAATTAAAACGCAAAATGTTGCCTTAGCAACTAGCTGAAATAAATAATTTTAAGTTTTTGAGTTATTCTTTCAGTTAACGTTTATGTTATTTCAAGTAACGAAAATGCTTTTAGTTTTAGTGTTAGTTAACTATATTAACTCTGACTCAACCTGTCTTTCTTTGTCAGGTTTATTTATCTTTCTCCGTCTCTCTGTCCATTTCTCTAAAAGCTTTCTTTTTTTCACTCTCATTTACTTTTTTCTGTGAATCTCAGTTATATCACCGTGACCTCTGGGAAAAAGCATATTGCACTTACGCTTTGAAACACACACACACACTCAGTGGCATCTTGTGAGCAGATGTGCTGCACCTGCTCCCCTCTTTTAATGCTCGTCTTGGTATCATCCGCTGCCCTCGAGATTTTACCCAGAATTCCCCCCTGCACTCTATTTTCCAGTGTGCAGGCAAAGGCAGACGCCTGAGCGCTCTCCATCTGATGATGTTTGTGATGCACACTGCGTGTTTCTGAGCGTCATGCAGGGCGGTGTGTTTTCGTTGCACTAAAAGGTTAAATGATTTTAAATGTGTTTTTCTGCACATGAGGATATGGCTGAGGTCACTTGTTTACTTGCAGCTGCCAACACACTAACTGAGTGACATCATTAGTGTAGTGAGTTTAACTTGTTAGTACATGTTATGATTAATGCATCTGGTTTCATATGATATTTCATGTGTATAGTGTATATATTATAGTGTTTGATTGAATTGAATGAAATTGTTGGTCTTGTGTATTTGAGCCAATAACTAAGACTCAAAATGAACTACATTTACTTTTTGTTGAGTCTTATGTAGAGGTCGACCGATATTTGATTTTACCGATACCGATTGTTAGTTTGGACCACCCTGACCGATACCGATTAATCAACCAATAGTTTTTCAAATGGATCCTGAACGAAAACTAAAATAGTGCTTTACTATTTAAAAAAAACAGTACTGAACCATAATTTGTAAATGAATAAAAATATTAGTATTAGAAATTATTAAATTAATCATTAACATTAGTTCATAGTTTATGAACTAATGTTAACAGAAGAAATGTAATATATACAGTGGGTACGGAAAGTATTCAGACCCCCTTAAATTTTTCACTCTTTGTTATATTGCAGCCATTTGCTAAAATCATTTAAGTTAATTTTTTTTTCCTCATTAATGTACACACAGCACCCCATATTGACAGAAAAACACAGAATTGTTGACATTTTTGCAGATTTATTAAAAAAGAAAAACTGAAATATCACATGGTCCTAAGTATTCAGACCCTTTGCTCAGTATTTAGTAGAAGCACCCTTTTGATCGAATACAGCCATGAGTCTATGTATACTCTCACACTTTAACTGCTTCTATTTTAGAACTCTTGATGATTATCTAAGGTATTACTCACACCGGACGTGGCGCGTTCACTTCAAGCCGCGGTCTAAAACAGTTTATTTAATCACCAAACGGGCAAAAGTTTACTTCAAGCATGAACAATGACATAGATGAGTTTGTAGTTCGGAGTTTAAAAAACAGAGCAAACGGAAAGAGAAATTGCGATCTATAGGCTATTATTGCTCAATAAATGAAGCATACTCTATTAGAGCCACAGAAAGACAAATGTTTTGCTGAAAAATGCACAATACATAATTTTACAGCCTAGGGTGAAGTCATTATGTACATTAAGAATGATTTGGGACAAATATAATGTAATTTAATGGAAAACTATTTGAATGGCACTCTGTGGCGTGGCAAGATTTTCTGTCGGCTGTATTTAAATCTGAAGTCTGAAGTTTTGCGTCTGAAGTTTTCCGCATTGTGCAGCGCGCAGCCTCACGTGCCAAAACAAACAACACGTGCTGTCAGTGATTTCCACCACTAGAGGCCGCTCTCTGACTGTATAATGACAGCGGACCATTCTCAGATGCTCCAGCAATGGACGCAACCCGGAAAACTATCGGCAAGGGCTTTTGCCGATAACCGATAGTTCCGCCAATCAACGATCGGTGCAGATTAATCTGCAAAACCGATATATCGGTCGACCTCTAATATATATATATATATTAGTTAATTATGTATTATTAAGTGTTGATGAAATGAGGTTTCCCCATGCGTTTTTGTTTTCTGGTTTCTACTATTGTTTTTTTTTGTTTGTTTATAAATTTTTAGAATAGCATTACCTGCAGCGTTTTTGTATTTATCATCCTCATAAAAATAAAAATCTAATCTAAATTAAAAGTTCAAAATACAAATCTAAATGACGAGTTGCTAATATTTTTTTCCCTTCCTGTGCAGCGTTCTCGAATCCAGGTTTGGCTGTATGAACAGGTCAACATGCGGATAGAAGGCTGCATCATTGTGAGTAAACACAGCAAGTCTCACATTTACCGTTAACACGCTTTACTCTTTCCACACAGGTCATTTTCATCTTTACAGATAATTTTGGGAACAATATCATGCAAGCATGTGAATAAAGAACTCTTATTTGCTTTTTGTTTATGTTTCAAGGGATTTGATGAGTATATGAACTTGGTTTTGGATGATGCAGAGGAGGTTCACATGAAGACCAAGAACAGGAAGCCACTGGGTAAGTGTGAACTTTGCGATACTGGCGAGTCATGCGTTTCTGAGAAATAACTTTTGTTTGATGTAAGTTCGATATGACTTTAAACATATTTTATCTCTCTAATAGGGCGGATTATGTTGAAAGGAGACAACATCACATTGCTGCAGAGTGTGTCCAATTGATTGTCTGTTAGGAGTTCATTTGGATATTGTTTGTTTGCTGTTAAATTGTTGGTTTTACTTTTTCATTTGTCAATATTTGGTATTTTGACCCATGTTTAAAATTGTGAAAACCTTTTTCTTTTCTAAATCTCAAAAATAAATATTTGTTTCCCCCCACTGTTCCAGGCTACTGTTTCTAGTGTTGGAATTAAACAAAGTGGCAATTAGCATATGCAAAGGACTGAAACAAATTAAGTTCAAAAGTTTAGTGTTTTTGAAAGAAACACCTTCTGCTCACCAAAGCTGCATTTATCTGATCAAAAACCAGTAGTACTGCGAAATATCATAACTTAAAATAACATTTATGTGATATATTTTAAAATGTCATTTATTCCTGTGATGGCTAAACTGAATATTCAGCAGCTTAAAAAAAAGATTATATCTTTTTTCTTTGATTAATAACCGATAGTTCCGGCAATCAACTATCGGTGCCGATTAATCGGCAAAACTGATACATCGGTCGACCTCTAGTCTTATGAGTGTTTTTAGTAACAAAGTCCTGTGAACATTTTTGTTTTGTAAATGACTTGTTGATTGTTTTAATGCGTTGGTGAAAAATGTATTCTATTAGCTTGTAGTTTTGTTTTAAATCCTCCATGATGATACTAAAAATGTCTCAATAGTTGTTGTTCTTGAATATTGATATTAGGAGGTACTGTCTCTTTAAGAGAGGTTTTTATTTTATTAATTTTTTTAAATGGAACAGTTAATTGAACCTTTAGACAAAAAAAATGACACTTTTTTTTTTTGAGTATCATAATTTATACATTAGGCTTTTTTGGTGCATTTAGTCTTATATAGAGAGAATATGGAGGGGGAAAAAAACAGCTCAGTTTTATTCAGAGGCCCAAACTGAGCAAAAATTTGCAATTTGGTGCCAATATTGGCCAAAAAGTAAGATGAGATTCTGATAGCCAGTAAATCAATGAGGTCTTTATAAGAGTATTGCAGATACTTACATAAAATGATATAAATATCAGTTGTCACTCTATATCTCCCAATAAAATGTCTTAGGAAGATGATATTTAACTGCTTAGTTTGATGATCAAAACCTATAATGCAATGCACTACAATGATGATTGAGGGATTAACAAATAACGTTCCTTAAAAGATGAGATGATTTAGATGTTTGTGAAGTTCATTCCTCCACTGAGGAACAGTGAAAGTAAAGCTTCTGGAAGCAAATGTTTAGAAGGAGCGCTGTCTCTTTAAGAGCGGTACTGTGTATTTAATAAGGCCACTCTCTCTTTAAGAGAGGGACAGTGTCTCGGGTCGCTCTGTTCAGGATGATCCCTAAAGACCGTTAATTAACCATCTGTCTACACCTGTGTGTGTGTGTGTGTGTGTGTGTGTGTGTGTTTGTGTTTGCTAGTGCTCTATTAGCTACTCAACATGTGCTCTGTCATGATGTCATCATCATTTTGTCAGTCTGTGATCAAATTAAAAGATCAAATGTTGCTTTTTGGGATTTTGATTTATAAATGAAATCTTTAAGGCTTTTATTTAGTCTGTTTATTAAGCATTTTTTCAGCTCAGTGTAGCTGATTTCAGCTTTTACTTTCCTTGTGGGGACATTCACTGCTCACAATGAAAGCCTGACACACACACACACACACACACACACACAGGTATGTTTTTGTGAAAAGTGGGGACATCCCGTAGGCGTAATGGTTTTTATACTGTACAGACCGTATATTCTATTGCCCTACACCAACCCTACCCCTAAACCTACCCCTTACAGGAGACTTTGTGCTATTTCAGATTTTCAATACACTCCATTCTGTGTGATTTATAAGCGTTTTGAAAAGTGGGGACATGGGGTAATGTCCTGAAATGTCACCTTCTCCTTGTAATACCTATGTCATACCTTTGTCATTATACAAATTTATGTCCTCATTTGTCACAAAAACGCATACACACACACACACACACACACACACACAGTAATGGTGTGTAATGGCTCTCATACAGTCTCTCAAGGCATTTCAAGTGTCTCTCTTTTACTCTCTCCTCAATTAGCTCTCTCTCTCTATCTGTTTAACTGTATCTCTCTCGTCCAGAGTGTCTCTCTGTTTCTTCAGAGCACAAGTTCACGCTGACTCAGATTGATGACTGTGCAAATCGAATTTTCTGTATCACTCTTGTTCTGCTGCAGGGCACACAAACACACACACACACACACACACACACACACAGCAGTTTCTCTGTTCTCAGCTCTGATGTGATTTTGTCTGAACATAATCTTATCTCACCAAGACATCTGATGATGGGAAACAATTCATCCTTAAAATAAAATATTCCTTTTAATCATTAGGGTTTGGGATAGGCAGTTTGGTAGTATTTGTTGTTTAGTGAGGTGATGCATTTTTTTAATTACAGTTTTTCTTTTAAGTATTTATTTTATTTGTATTTATTTTTTAGGTTTATTTATTTATTTACATTTATTTATAAATATTTTTGTTTCACTTATCTCACCAAGACATCTGATGATGGAAAACAATTCATCCTTAAAATAAAATATTCCTTTTAATCATTAGGGTTTGGGATAGGCAGTTTGGTAGTATTTGTTGTTTAGTGAGGTGATGCATTTTTTTAATTACAGTTTTTCTTTTAAGTATTTATTTTATTTGTATTTATTTTTTAGGTTTATTTATTTATTTACATTTATTTATAAATATTTTTGTTTCATTTATTATTATTTGTTTTTCATTTGTATTTTATTATTGTTTTTATTATTTAATTATTTTTTATTTTATTTGTTTGTTTAATTTTAAAGTTTCTTTCTTTATTTTTATTTATTAGTTTCTTTGACTCTTTTTTTATTTTTTCAACTTGTTTTATTTATTTAATTTTTTAAGGTTTAATTTTTTTCAGTATTTGTTTGTTTGTTTATTTATTTATTTATTCATTCATTTTAATTTTTTTAAATGTTAATTTTTAACGTTTTCGTGTATTTTTAATTTTAAATGTACTTATTTTTTCATTTATTTATTTATTTGTTTGTTTGTTTATTCAATTACTTATTTTTATTTGTATTTATTACTTTTTTTAAGCAATGGTGTATTGTGTTGATCTTTAGCGATTTCTTTATTTCCTCTGATTGTATGACGTTTGATGTTCTTTAAATGTTTTATTAATATATTTAAACGGATGAATTCTCTTTTTGCTTGTGCAGTTGCCGCAGTAACCGGAAGAGTTTGATTCTGACCTCCACCTCCCCTACTCTGCCCCGCCCACATTCCCCGTTACCTGGGCACATCGGTGAGAGGCCACGCCCCCTGCTGGACAAAACACTTATACAGCTACTGATGTGTTTGCTGATGCATTCTGCTTACAGACTCACTGATACAGTTTTCTTACGTGCTTGAGTTTTGTTCGTAATTGAGCATCCTTTGTTGTTCCTGTCCACACAGGAAGTAGTCCTCTGGACAGCCCTCGAAACTTCTCTCCTAGCACTCCGGCACATTTCTCCTTCGCTTCCTCAAGACGGTAAACAAGCACACACACACACACACACACACACACACATACACACACTTCAGACTGGAAGTCTTACAGAAACCCTTAGCTGCTGTTAATGCAGCTTCTGTACTGTTGTCTGTGCAGGGATGGGCGTCGATGGTCACTGGCATCTCTTCCATCTTCTGGTTATGGAACAAACACTCCCAGCTCAACGGTAAGAGAGTTTCTCATGTGAACACGTCTACAGACGTGCATCACATCTGATCTAGAGACGTCTGATGACAAACACACATCAGATGCACTTCAGAGATTCAGCTGTGGGTCATTTATGACGCGTTTGTGGCGTATTTATGAGCAGTGAACAAAACTGAAGACCGTTTTCAACTGTACAGTCAGAGACAGTGTTAGTTTCGTATTTTTTTATATGCTATTATAGTTTTTCTAAATATTTTAAACGAGTTTGTATTTTAAGTTTCCATTTTTAAATTTCAGTTAATTTAGTCATTTTGTTTGTGTGTTTTGTCATTTGTGTTAGTTTTTTACTTTTTAATATGTCTAAATCGTTATATTTTATATTATATCATGTAAAGGAATATATTATAATAAATAATAGTTATTATATTATATAAAAGTATTTTGGAATAAATAGCCTTGAATTAAATAATAATAGTTATTGTATTATTGTATATTATATTATATAAAAGTGCTTTGTAATAAATAACAATAGTTAGTATATTTATATAAAAATGCTTTGTAATAGTGATAAAATAAAAATAGTTATTATATTATTTAATATTGTATTATGTGATATACAGTACATAGCAAGAATTTAAAATTATTATTTAAATATATTTTGTTTAAAACCAAGGTCAATGATTTGAAGTTTCTTTCTCTTTATTTATTTTATTGTGTTTTTCATTTATAAATAGTTTTTTAAAGTTTCATGTAGTCTTATTTGTTTTTCATTTGTTTTTATTATAAACAAAATTGTAAAAATATAAAATTATTTTACGTGTTTCATTCTTTCTTTCATTTATTATTTGTATTTATTTGTTTGTTGAATTTGAATGTTTCTTTCTTTATTTTTTATTTATTCATTTAAATCTTTTCAATTTCTTTATTTATTTTTAAAGTTTCTTTTAAAATTATTTATTTCTTTAAGGTTTCATTTGTTTTGTTTTTTATTTGTTTTTTATTTATTTATTTATTTTTCTTTCTTTCATTTATTTATTTATTTGTATATAACATAAAAAAACAAGGTCAATGATTTGAGTTTACCTGCATATAAATCATATTTGAAACATAATTTTTTTGTTAGCAAATATGAAAAGCTTTTTTTAATGGTCAAAATTAGTCAACTTTTTCAAGATTAATTAAGGTATGCTTAAGGTTTTCTTTACACTGTTAAAAACAAATAATTTGCTATTTATAGGATTTTTTTATTTGAAAGCCTAAGCATGTAATGTTTAAGTAATCAGCTTTTACTGTGAGATATAAAGTGCACTTTATCATGTAAATAAATTATCAAGTGTCAAGTTATATAAAATCATTATATAATTATATTATTGGTATGTCATGCTATAATGAAGTGTTTTTTTTGGGGGGGGGGGGGTTTCTCGTAATAATAATTAAGAAAGCATTATTGTGCTGATTGTTGTCTAACGCAGTCTTCATGGCAGGACTGCATCTATGTTCTCTTAAAATGCTGTCTATGTAGGCAGCTCACTAGGGACTGGAGCCGATGCTTCCAGACAGTTTACAGCCTGTTCGTGCCTTCGCTCTGTCACATGCTTAATGTCTGTGTTTATCTGCAGTCCTCCAGCTCGTCTCAGGAGCGTCTGCACCAGCTGCCATCTCAGCCCACCATGGACGAGCTGCACTTCTTGTCCAAACACTTCGGCAGCACAGAGAGCATCACTGACGATGACGGGGGACGCTGTTCACCCCACATAAGACCCCGCTCACGCAGCCTGAGGTCTGCAAACACACACACGCACACACTCATGCTCAGGTGTGTGTGTGTTGCAGTATTTCTGTTTAACTCTCTCTCTCTCTCTGTTGTGTGTTCAGTCCGGGTCGCTCTCACTCCTGCTACGACAATGAGATCATCATGATGAATCATGTTTACAGGGAGCGTTTCCCTAAGGTAACACACACACACACACACACACCTGTCTCACACCTCAGTATCTGTCTACCTGTTTCTCACACCTGTCCACTTGTGAATGCAGAAATGCTGAACAGATTTTAGAATAATATTAAAGGGGTCATATGATGTTGCTAAAAAGAACATTATTTGGTGTAATGAAATGTGTTTATGCGGTTTAAAGTTCAAAAAACATTCTTTTCCACATACTGTACATTATCGTTGCTCCTCTATGCCCCGCCTTTCTGAAATGCGTTGATTTTTACAAAGCTCATTGTTCTGAAAAGTGAGGAAGATAGCTGATTGGCCAGCTATCCAGTGTGTTGTGATTGGCCGAATACCTCAAGCGTGTGACGGAAATGTGGGAAATTTTACGCCCCTCACCATACTGTGCTGCCTTGTCAGGCCGGAGCGGCGGGACAAAAACATTAAAACCCATTATAAACGAGGCACTTGTTGCATCCAGTGGGGACATAATTACTGATTATAATGACTGATACTGTCTTTTTACGCGTTGCGTTGCATCGCCCCGCGTAATCGTAAAACCATGTCTGCATTTGTGATCGGAGAAACAACAAACAACAAGTGCTA